GTTGACTGCGGTCAGCAAGACGCCTGCAAAGAAAGGCAAGCTCACTGGATGGGTCCTATTTTCTACCGTTTTTACCCAGGTTGTGCCGTCAAAAGGGCGCCGCAGGCACTGTACTGTCAGCCCCCCTCCCTGCCTGCCCTCTCGTGAAACCCCGTTGCTGCGCTGGCAACCGCTCCCCCCGCGACACCCACACTCACCCGCTGGTGCACCTCCTCCACACTGCCCGACGCGTCCACGTCGACAAATGATGAGTCGCGCACCTCGGCAAAGACACCCCGCACCTGGGCGTGGGTCAGGGTCAAACAAACAGGCACAATGGGGGTTTCGCGCCGCTGCACATCAGACTCGATCACGCTGCCTGCACGTGCCGCCTAGAGAACAGGGCTGACATCAGCGCGGACCACCGACTCCTAATGGGCCGCAGCAAGGCACCTGCATGTGAGACCCCTGGGTACAGACGGCCCCTGACGGCCCCCATTTCCCTGGGCCCCGCGCCCCCCCTCCCAGCCACCCCTGATTCCCCACCTGCTCCTGGAAGCCGGCCTCCTCGTACCGCTCCCCGCCAAAGCCGCCGCGCGCCGCAGCCGCCCCGGGGGGCAAAGCCATCCACAGGGTCACGTCCGGCGCGGGCAGGCCTTGGAGGGGTTGCCGGGTTCAGGACGTGAGCATTTCATATGCTGTCATTGCATAATCAAGCCGAGACAAACTTTGAGGCTGTGGGGGTGACTGCAGAGCATGCGCATACGCATCTGCCGTTTCTTTCTAGTGCTCACCGGTGTCGGGGGCCTTGCACCATGCGACACCGCAGCCAGGCACCCGCTTGGCAGCCGTGTAGGCCACGCCGCTGTGGGAGGTGCCGAGGAGAAGGCGCCACAGCGGGATCAGGGGAGGCCCGCTTCACGCTGACAGGTGAGAAAGCACAGCGAAGCAGCCGCAGCAGCAAAAACCATATGGGGATGGCTGCACATGGCAGCGCAACGAGTTGCTCCATGCAGGGGCGTGGTTGCTTTTCCCCCCAACCTGTATGCGTATCTGTCCACCACCAGGGTGACGCCCTGCTGCAGCGCCTCCAGCAGGGCGCGGCTGCGCCAGGGGCGCACGACGCGGGGCGCAGCCGCGGTGTGGCGAGCGGATTGGGTTTGACCAAAACACCCTCAAGTTTGGCTTCCTTGGCAGCTCGCGCGGCGAGCCTGCCAACCTCCTGCTTATGATTGGGGTCAACACTGCGATTTGCCCTGCCCATGAGCACGCATCAGCACAAGCACACACCCATCCTGGCTGCCGCCGCCCTTGAAGGCCCCCACCTCTTCTCCCATCTGTTGGCGCTGAACATCATGTGAATGGCCTGGTCGCTCAGGCCTGCTCCGCTCTTGCCGCCCTCCGTGCCGCCCGTGCCGCTGCTGCTGACCGCTGCTGCTGTGGCTGAGAGGTACTCGTCTATGGCCTTGCCCGTCACAGTGCCCTTGCGGTCAGGGAAGCGCCACAGCTCGGCGCGCGTCTGAGGAGAGGGGTGCAGGGGCGGGTGAGTGTGGTTATCCTGGGAAAATATCTGGGTGTGGGTTTGCGAGCGCGGGCGGCAAGCCGGGGCGGACGGCTGCATCCAGGCCCACAGCTGGTGCTCTTCTGCAGAATCCAGGCCTGGCAACTCACCCCCTGTGCGTTGAGCGCCTCCACCAGCTTGGCTGCCTGAGTGGATTTGCCGCTGCGGTCTACGCCCTCAAATAGGATGAACGCGCCACGCGGCGCGCCTGCTGTTGCTGCCATGTTCACAGCTGCACTGCTTGCCCTCCTCTGCACCGTTGCGGCGCAGGCGGTCCGCAGGGCTGGAGCCCGGATCGACTGCAGGGCTGCTACTCGAAAGTATAATTGAATTCAATCACTCCTATCAAGGAAGGGGGGCGTAGAGTACCAACTGCAGGGAGCCCGCGCAACGAGTTCAGATCTGGGAACGTTATATCCGCGACATTTGGTTTTCACGAGTATTTATTCACTGCGTACACCTCCAAAGTACGCACCTTTGCGTTGGTCCCAACATTGCTGTTCCACTTTGTCACCTGCAGCTTCCGTGATCCATGTTGGGCGCTCATTCGTCCGCCACTCTCTATCAGAGTGCCAAGGCACGCAGTCTAATCTGTCCAGCAGCGTCTGCGCAGCAGCGCCCGCCCGGCCGTGCCCCTCATCGCGCTCAAGGGGGGTGTGCTGCGTCGAGGTGCGGCGACTGTCTCAGCATCCCAAGTCATACTCCCCGACGGCGGCGGGCGGCCACGACTGTGATGGCCTCGTCTTCTGGCCGCGAGGCAGGCGGCGGCTTCATTGCAGTGGAGACACTTGATGTATGGCTGTCGCAAAACTCGCCCCCAGGTGAGCAGCTGAGCTCGAGCTCAGCTGGGGGTGCACCTAGCATTGGGCAGACGGCACTCACCAACAATCCTGCACCTCAGCCGCCCAAAGTTGTAGCAGTTGGCATCCCCTGGCGCTGCGGGGTACCCTACGGCCATTACCGCATCTCTGCGCCCCCATCCCCAGCTCAGCGCGTGAAATGGCTGCACCGCGCCCACCCCACCATGGCAGGCCATGGTGCTGAGCTGGCGTCTGCGCTGGGCGCAGTGTCGACATCCATCAAGGCCATAGCAACGCGCGTTGCGCGCGCCGGGCTGGAGGGGCTGTACGGCGTGGCCGGGACGACTGGGGGCAGTGGTGACGCCCAGAAGAAGCTGGATGTTGTGGCGGTGGGTGTGAGGACTGCGTGGTCGCTGCCTGATCAACAGCGAGGGGAGGACGGCAAGGAGTGGAGGGAGGAGCCTCTGCCGATGGTGTTGCCAGCATCCTGTTTGCTGGCCAGTGTTGACGGCGCCTGGGCTCTCGTTTCTCCGCCGGAGGTGCCGGCGCCAGCGGGGTGTCGATGACAGCCTGCGATGTGGCACGCATTGGCCCCTGCACAAAAATGTTGATTGACCTGAAGCTTCCGGCCGCTCCTGCACAGAATGACATCATGAAGGCCCAGCTGGCGGCCTGCGGGGCCGTGGGTGTCCTGGCGAGTGAGGAGGAGGACGGCGCCCTGGTGCTGGGGGATGGCAGGCAAGCTTGATCTGGTGTCGGCTGTGCTCTGCAACTGTTTGGATGTGGCATTCGGCAGGCTTGCGGGGGACCCAGACTGCATAGGGGCGTGTTGCCTGCACACAATTTGTGGCAGCAGGCCTTGATCAGCCCTGCGGCTGACTTTGTAACAAAGTCAGCCATTTTGGCACTCCTGGCCCCGCCTGTCACTGCTCTCTCTCACGCTCTGTATCCCCTGGAATCTGTGGCACCCTGCAACAACCACCCGACTCGCCCACTCTGCACCATGATCCCACCAGGTATGTGCTGGTGTTTGACCCGCTGGATGGGTCGCGCAACATCGATGCAGCCATACCCACGGGTGCGGCCCTGCGATTGTATTCACTTGGGTTGGTCTTTTGCAAAGGGCTGTAGTGAGGTGTGACCATGTTTGCCCCCCCCCCCCTTCGACTCCTCATCGGGTGGCTCAAGCTCCACTGGCTTGCTCGTTCATCTGCCCCTGGTAATCCCTGCCTGCCTCTGTTGCCTTGGAATGTGCAGGCACCATCTTTGGTATCTACGAGCGGCCTCAGGGGGCCTCCCCAGAGGCAGCTGCGCTGCAACCCGGCACCAGGCTCGTTGCAGCGGGGTAAGTCAGCCGGTGACGCGCTCAGCTCCATGCGAAACTCTTGGCGCTCCCCCTGATGGCCCTGCAAAATGTCTTCTGTTTGGCCAAGCCATCGCAGCCTGAGCCCGCGCAAATGTACTCCCCTCTTATCATCACCCCCCACCTGCCCAC